CTGTTCTGATGGGCAATGAGTAAATATTGTGCTACAGAGAATAGTCATGCATTATGTAACTTAATCAAATCAACTGGCCATAGGAAGCAGCCATCAGCGAAATTGATTAAAAAAGGCGCTTGATTAATTTTTTCACAAAAGCCCACTTGGAAGGATTGGCCAAACTTTTTAAGAGTTTTAGTGACCTCCGGCAACACAGCCTCTGGAGGCATTGCATGGGGACGTATGGGATATAAACTTTAAATGTCCGTCAGAAGTAACGAAATATGAACTGTCCATCCGAAAGCGTGAGAAGGAACCAGGACTGAATGTTTTTTGTCTAGCCATCTTTAAAGAAGGTGGTGAAACTGTGGTTACGCAACTGACAACTTCTATTGGTGCTATATTGAGTGACAAGAAAGTGCCCACAGAATGGGACAGATCAATAGTCATCCCTGCCTTCAAAAGTGATATGCGCAAACTTTGAAAATCACCCTAGCAATAACCTTGTAGCCGTTGCATAGAAAGTGCTCACCGTTCTCATTCTCTGTGGGCTGACTGAACACAGAATGACAGAGTGAGATAGATCCATATGGGCGAAACTGGGTTTCATCCTGCAAGAGAATGCATCAGATAAATTTTGTGATAGTTGCACTGCTTCTTGCAACTAACGATGACCGCACTTCTTGACTTGGAATTGTCTTTGCCTCTTCTGGTCGTCGGACATTGTGGCAATGCGCATGCCCTCACGCTCTTGAGCCTCTAAGCTTGTGATAGTTGCACTGCTTCTTGCAACTATCGATGATCGCGCTTCTTGACTTGGAATCGTCTTTGCCTCTGCTGGTCGTCGGATACGGCAGTGCGCATGCCCTCACGCTCTTGATCCTCTAAATTCTGCACATCAACTCCCGTAGACTCGTGGAGATCTATGGCAGGTTCTCTTTTGAGTTAATCACATCTAGCGGCGTCAGGTAAAGTTATGCGCGCCTCCTTTTTTCTTTGAATTTGTCTTCGATATGACCATGGAAGGCTTACTCCCAGCGTCTAAGGCCTATATGGTCGAAATGTTTTCAGGGTGTTCACCTACATTTAAGAAGTATATTGACTACATGGTTTTTCCTGGGTCCCGCTCGCTAGGAACAAAAACAATATTCGTAGTGCACTACTCATAAGGTTGTTGAAAATTCTTCGACAGCCCACGGCCAGTTTCGCCCTTCTTGGGGCTCATCAGGTAGGTACAGTCCCCGAGTTTTCGTCAACCTTATGTTCTATTCGAAAACAAATTGTACGAATTTAGCGAAATATACTTATTTGCAAACAAATTTGGTTTCAAGAAGAGCGAAACCGGTGGTGGGCTGTTGGATTTTAAGCAACCTTATGAGTAGTGCATTACAAATATACATGTATCGCGATATCTCGAATATCGTAGCAACTGAAACATGAGGCGGCCTGGTGCAGCACATCCAGGTTCCTGGAAATATCGCGAACGAGGGATTCAGCTGGGTTCCAGGTGGGTCTCTCACAAAACCGATTTTGTTTGCAAATGAGTTTATGTTGCTAACAACAATAGTAAATAATTTTAATTACTCTGCTTCACTGTTTGGCATGCGCTCATACGTGTAAAATCTGGGGTGCTGCTCCACGACTAGTTAGGAAGAAATCTGAAACTCATGGTTGCATATGAGCGATTGACGTAAAAGACGGATTTGTTTGCCTGTATAGCTGCATCATTCCAAGTGACCTAGCTGAACTGTTCAGCTGTAAGATCCTTTCGGTGCCTAGCTGCCATACCACCCGAGGGAAGCACGAGGGCTGGGATACTTCCAGGTTGCCCAAGCCCAGACAGGGGAAGTCGAGAGATGGAGGTCAGGTTCGAACCACAGACCTTCCAATCAGTAAATTTGCACTCTAATCACTGAGCCATCTCACTCCTTTAACAATATGCACTGGGTTGGTGCGATCCATACTGCTTTGTGGATTAGCGACGTGACCTCTACTCGCAGAGGGCATACGAAAGATGTCAGCCTTTGACCGCCTGTGTCTCCTAGGCATTGGGGGGGGGACATCGGATTAGCAATGCTAAGGTACTCCAGATGATCCTAGGAGGAAGGAGTTCTTCCGTGATGTGTGAATTACGCTTCATAGGTTACGGAGGTTAGAAAATTTACTCCGCATGCCAGAAAACAGTCTGCCTCACAGAGCTCTTTTCAGTCAGCCTTGTACTGAATGGAAGCGACCGATAGGTGGACAATATGTGACCTGGCAACGAAGTATGAAAACACTAACCAGTGAACTTAATCGAATCGATAATTGCCGCCCCCCAGGACGAGGACCCCGGGACTCGAATCACCACTGGTTAGTGACACTGGCAGAAGTGGCCCGATCACAAAGTTAGTGGTGCTGGTGAATCAAAACTATAGCCTTCAAGAGTAGCTACTCTGGTCCCGTAAAAACTCAACATACCATCGCCTCCAAGGCTTGGTTGTATCTCCCACACTCCAAATTTCCAGTGGTCGAAGCTGTAGCACTTGGAACCAAAGCTTATGATACACGGTTTGTAGCTGACAAATTGAATTGAATTAATTGAGCCAATTACTTCATTGCGTACCTGTGCACCCCTATCTTCGCAGATCATTGCCGAACGAACAGCGATAATCACTGTACAATTCGCGACTGATGGTGGGTGCACTGTTTCGAAAGTTGTCTGTTTGAAGTACACTAGAACTGAGAGGTGTGCACCCCTATCTTCGCAGATCATTGCCGAACGAACAGCGATAATCACTGTACAATTCGCGACTGATGGTGGGTGCACTGTTTCGAAAGTTGTCTGTTTGAAGTACACTAGTTGCAACTGAGAGGGAAAATGACTGCTACGCGTGCTGCGAGAAATCTGGCATGTGGTTTTTTCCCAAACATACACGCATTAACCACTGTGTCTCAACTGTTGCTTTCACCTCTTGATGCAAAAAGTTCTACGCCTTCTGAACGGCAACATAATTCCACTAGGCGGTCTGTTAGACTTCAGCTCAAACGAGGTTTATGTGTGGATACGGAGGCGTGGTGGAATCGGAAAGTTCAGAGAATGAGGACCATTGCGGCGAGCTAGTTCGTAAGACGGAATGAAGGACATCTGTTAGTGAGCTATTCAAAGATACCTTTGAGAATTCAATATTCAATAAAAATCTGCGTTTAGATAGTTGGGCAGAATATTTTCAACAACGCTTTTGCTGTCAGTCGGCTTGTATATCTATGTCCTTCGCTGGACCCGCCTATCTCGGTTCTCCCTCAGTTTATGAATTACTAATATAACATTCTGCCTTGCAATGTTATCAGGCTGTCCGACAAAGTGTGCTTTCACGGGCACTACTTTAGGTCATTGATTCATTTCTGTGTTTTTTCTTAACTAGAATGAACCTAAGGGAACATAAGTTTGTTGAAAGCTCTTGAAGTGAGTTTCCCTGTTAAAACGGGATTGGTGTGTAAATGAGTGTATTTCGTAGAACAGAATTACGTAGGGATAGGAATGCCTTCCAGACAACGAGTCAATTCATCAGCATTCGCTTAAGCTAAACGAGGCGACTACTCGGATCTCAGAGATGCCGGCCTAGTGCCTATCAGTACGCGGCTACTGAATTAAATAAGACTACGACGCTTGACCCAGGCACGTGCGACGCAAATACAACAGTAGCATGCAGGATTTTACCTGGTTAGGGCCGCCTTCGTTGCGCCTTCCAGTTATACCAAATGCTTGAGTAGCGACTTGCATACAATTACGGTTCTCGTCGACTTCATAGAAGCCTTTGACGCAAACTAGTCTCAGAAATACCTCTGAAGTACTCTCTTTTCCCACGCTAGTCAAACAGGAGTTCACAGCCACCCGTCAACAACTAATAGTTTTGGTAAGACTATCTTCCCTCCGCTTGCTGTTCGATTCCGTCACCTGTATTATCATGTAGCACGTGCTCCAATGTATCGAGGCTCGTGGTATAGGAATGGCGCCTTAACAAAGATCAATGGACTTGTATTATTCGAAAGATATTGACCACTTATTCACGCTGTCCACTCTAGATACAATGTCGGATATGATCTCTAGTTCCTGGATGCTTCAACTATAAAGTGCAAAGGATTGTTTCAGGATCTTAACTCCTCCCCTGCCCTTCTGAAACTTCAGGGGGGGGGGGGGGCGCTCGCGTTTATCAATAAATGTACAGGCCGTGACAGCGCTGTAATGGAAGTCAATGCACTCACTATCAGGGCTCGGGCACCACCTATGAACCTAGCCGTTATTGGACCAGGAACGAGTCCTACGGAACCTAATGGCCTGTGTATTCAGGATAGAAATAAGGACAATTTTTGCTCTATGGTTTTGAGACGTGAACTGGTTATTCGCAAAAAAGTTCCGTCAATCGGTTCAGGAGCACACCCGCTTCACTGAATCCTTCTGAGTGACCCAGCACTCACTACAGACAATGACCATTGTCTGATCAACATAGGAAACGCGAGTGGACACTGAGGACCACCGAATTCGCGTACCATTTTAAATTTACGATGGTGACAAGTGGCGACACTAGCAAGTTAAAATATTTAGACAACTCAGACTGAGGTGCTATCACAATGGACAATGTATGCAACGACGGTGACGACCGTTTGTCCTTCTCTAAAGCAGCCACCTTTGTTGGAGGTGCCACATGGGTGGGCGAATTACCCAGACTCTTCCCTCTGCACAACTAAGTCTAATAAGCACTCAGAAATTTACCCAGTGGGAAAGCCTACCACTGCTTCAAGTTTCTCAAAAACTAATTAACAACCTCAGCAGCTTGGATCCTCCTATGCAAGCCAAAATATTTAACAACGGGATGGTCTGAGCATCACAAAAGACACCTTAGGGGTAGTCTTTGGTGTTTTTTTAATTTCGTTAGCTTGCTTAGTTCATTGTAATTAGACTACATCCAATTTAATTTGTCATTAGTGCTCACTGTTCGTCATTCTTGTATCCACTACAATGTAGTTTTGGCTTTCAGGCATGCCGTAATTTCACACTCTATCAGAGATGACATCTGAGGATTTGTTACAAAGCAAGTATGATCGCTTGTGTGTGGAATTCAAAAAGGTACAAACTTTTCTTGGCCACTCGATTTTTAATCCGACAGCTAAGAAACAAGCACCACGACCTGAAAGAGTTAACATACAAAGAACTGTCGGAGTTACAACAGCTACGGGTAAGCTACAAGTTTCAGGGTGAAAGATGTGCATAGGAGAAGCAACGAGATGGAGAGTTACATATTCTCAGTCTTCAGAGAGAATGTGAATGTTTGCGTTTCCGCAATGTCCAGTTGGATAAACAACTTCGTCAGCTGACTGCAGGAACAGAAACCCCCCGCGTTCCGCGCTCCGGTCACACACTAGATGCGACTACAATTGACACCACCTTTGAGGCTGAATCAGACGTTTTAACCGTACCCTTGGATAGGAAGCTTACTCATCCCAATGATCATGTGAGTTCCGAGGGCCTTACTTCACAGTGCATGCCCGTCTCCCAAACGTCTTTGTAGCTTCCCGAATTATTCTACTTTATTTGTTTCCTGTGAGTGAAGTTTATCTGATGAAGCCATTTAGGTTGCACTTCTGTGCTCGTGAGGAAGATTTATTATTTTTTTCAGAATAGCCTTGCCCTACCTCGCGTGGACAAGATGTTATCCATAGTGATCAAGCGTGGCCTAAAAAGTCATGCCGCAGGTCCACCTAAAACATCTTTAAAACCGGACTTCCGTATGCGGTGCCGGTTTTCATGACTTTTAGATTTTCAACTAGGACTGTCTTCTGATTGACAGTATGTATTTTTCATTTCAACTCTGTCACGAATGCTACCATGTGTATCCAGAGCAGTGAGCATATATGAATCCGTTGTTTACAGCTTTGTTAGCTCATCTTGAGCATGCTTTGTAACACGTCTTTCAAGTGATCAGAATCTTCATAATTATAAAACTAACATACCAGGTGGATCGTAAGTGATCGCTCTCTGTTAACCAGGAGTTGCATCCATTGCTCGGCACAAATACTGCTGTATTCCATGCAACGTATGAAGATGGGTCCTTCCTCCTAAACCCGTAAATTTGGAATTTAACCAGTTCTTACAGTGTTGGGTACATAGAACGAAAAGACCTTAATTGTAGCGGGTTAAGTTGTGCGTTAGCTGTCCGCATCAAGTTGCACACGATTATGATGAACACCTTTGACTTACGCCCTCTGGCTATTCCCGGCACTTTGTGTGTGGCCTTCTTATAGAACCTTGGACACTCGGTGGTCCACTGCTTGTCCCCATGTACTCCATGGCCAAGCACGCTAATAGCACTAAAACATCTTTGAGTACAATGAATCCTTGTTGCTTTCTCATACTTGCCGTCCAGTAATATCCCCTATTCAATATCTTCCATGCTTTCAAAGGGTTACTCAAACACTTTATCTTTGACAACTGTCTCTAGATAGAGACACGTCGCCTGTGGACAACTAATTAAGGTATTCATCAGTGGACCCCATGTTTAAAAAAGCAGACAAAAGTGGTTCACCGTTTGTCAGGGTCAGATTCCTGAAAATAACCCCAGGATTTCCGAAACACACTGCAAGCTGCCATCCGCGAACTCGCTTCACAAAGGGGACCCAATCTCCGGGCCGGAAAGTCCAGCTTCCGACTGGAAACTGCAGCAGCCTCTCAGCGATGGTCGGTGGTGCTATCATCATAATCATCATCGACAGCATGACATCAGTGTTCAACACCGATGCTTCACTGTCGTGCAACCATGACTTATTTGAAAGCCTTATTGTAAAGAAAAGAATAAAGGTGGATGGGGGAGGGACTTAGTGCTAGCTTAACACAATCATTCCGAGGTGC